CAAATCGGGGATACCCGTAGTTACGTGATGTTATCGGTAATACCCGCAGAGCCGCTTTTGGAAGTTTTCATAGCATTTGTCAGCGTCCGGGAAAGCGAAAATTCTCCGAGGCATTCTATTTTAAGAATAGTATAATCTGTACTGGATAATTAGTGTGAGGTTCGCGGCAGTTCTGGAACTTTCCAGTAGAGTCTAATGGTCGTGGGAGGAATCTCTTACATAACAATCCAATGTTATTACATGTGTGTTGCGGAGGGGGGCGCGCTGGGTTCAGCGAGGTACTAAAAACAGCGCTATGTTCAAAACCAAACAGACTACAGGGATGGAAGGAGGGGAGGGGGGGGTGGGGGGGGGGGGTTAGAACTCAGCTAGTTAATCAGGCAGGTATGTTTTTTTTTATCCCTTTTCAGATCTCGGAGCAGGTGAGTGTCGCACTTCTCAGGTAACTGACCCACTTTCGTGTGAGCAACCCCAGAGTTCCAGCCGAGTGGTGGAGCTGAGGCCCTGGACGTCCGCCCCGGGGGGTGGGGAGTTAAGTAGACAAACTTATCGCGGGCGCGACCCGGTCTCCTGCTGGCGGCGTCGACCCCGTGGTCGGGGGAGAGTTTTGAGAAAAGGTTTTGTCAATAGAAGTGGCAGGGGGGGGGGGGTGACCTGGGTGTGGGGGAGGGGGGATATTTGATTGATTTCTCGAGATGCGCTATCTGACACGACAAACTTTTTCTGCTAACTTCTTATGTATATATTTACATATATATGTGTGTGTGTGTGTTTGGCAACTGAATTTCGATCATGATTATTGATTTTATCGATACAATTTGCATTAGATGTGCAGGTTTTTTTTTTTTACCAACTAGTGCCTATTGGTTGTTGAAATATTTTAAATACAAAGAATTTGCATCGAACCTACTTTAGAATGCGAATATGTGATGAGAGAAAAAGACCTAGCCTGTAGATTTATTCACGCTATTTTTGAAGCAGGCTTTAAAGTTGAACTGCATAGTGAAAGGTTTTAAAAAGTCTCACTCGTAAGAGTGTACTCACTCCTAGCCTACTCATACTGGGATTAGCTTTACACAATGTTGCCAGGAAACAGTTCTGTTTAAAATGTACATCTAATTTTAGCCACAGCTGTAAAACATTACACACAATATATAACCCCCCCACAATAAAACCATACCTACACTTATTGATGACCTAATTGGAGCCGAATTCACGGACCGATCCATCAAGCGTTACGACACACTACTCTATCTCGCGGTCGGTCTTTTTTTTCTCGAGATGAGGAAGTTTTGTGATGGAATACAAACAAGGGATAGACAGCGTGTGGAGCCGATATAGGGGCAGCTGTTTCAGGAGGGGAAGTGTGTGTGTGTGTGTGGGGGGGGGGGGGGGGGTACACCATAATGAGGTACCACAACTCTTGCCAAAAAAAAATCTTCAACACGGATAACTCTGCTAAATCAGCTTTAGGTTAATAAAGTTGAAGGGGGGGGGGGGAAGATGAACACTAGTACAAAGTAGCCAAAAGTCGAAGAAAAAAAATTTAAGTACATAGTAACCGAACCTGTGTACATTATGTGTAAAGAAGTGCTCGTCTACAGGAACTGAAATATGAAGGGAAAAAAAAAGGTAAACCTAGACGATAAGAAAGGCAAGGTAATCTACGAAGAAAGAAAAAAAAATGGCGCTGGCTGTGAATCCCATTTACTTTCCTTTCATCATGAAAACAAACAACCAGGGACTGCAACCGGCTTTTTTTTTCGCAACCTCAGGGACATAAATCAGAGGCTATGTCAAAACTCACATCTCCGATGGCATACGCAAACTCACGGAAAATCTCGTCCATAAGACGGGAGTAGCTGATCCCGGAGACTTGTAAACACGTGACGGGACGAGTTTTATGACGCGGCCAGGTTTTTCTCTTTTATCTCGAGGGTTACATGGCCGGGTTGGAATGAGAGCCTTAGGGCATTCACAATGACTGCAACCTTTCACTGGATTCTGGACCAGCTTCTTAAAGCCCGGAGCTGTACGGCGATTGTTTTTAGATAAACGAATCCCGTTCTTCGTTTACTAATAAAAAAAAACTTTAAAAAAAACCTGAACAACCCCAAAAAATTATAGTTTTGGTTTCATATTCAACTATTTAAAACTATAATAAGTTTTCAAAGGTTTGACTTAAATATTTCCTTGATAAAAAGATTTTTTTTTCGAAATTACTCTTTAAAAAAGTTGTCGCCCTTTTTTCAAACAGTAGTCTTGATATGCCAAGATAACAACCTAACATTGCTACATTTAGTACGCACCCTCCCTAATGTCTATTTAACATCGATTTCCTAACACATTGGAGTAGCATTATTGCAAAAAAAGCATGCAATCAAATAATCGATATAAGACAGAGGAAAAAAAGGCGAAATACCTAATAGGTAATTTGCTTGTTCCAAAGGTTAGGGAAAAAAGTTTTCTTTTTTGGGGGATGGGAAGTGATTTCTGACACTTCTATACATAGTTTACAACCCCACCCCACCCCCCTCTCCTTCACACAAAAAATTGTGCGAATTGAAAAACGAAAACTCGGGAAGAATTTTAAGTGGAAAAAAAAAGACTCAAATGTCTAAAGCACAAAAACAATTTCGTGTAGGGATTCGAGGCATCTAAGGGTTCTAGACATCTATGGGTTCTAGACTTTTAGGGGTTCTAGACTTCTAGGGGTTCTAGACATCTAGGTGTTCTAGACATCTTAGGGTTCTAGACTTCTAGGGGTTCTAGACATCTTAGGGTTCTAGACTTCTAGGGGTTCTAGACATCTTAGGGTTCTAGACTTCTAGGGGTTCTAGACATCTAGGTGTTCTAGACATCTTAGGGTTCTAGACTTCTAGGGGTTCTAGACATCTATGGGTTCTAGACTTCTAAGGGTTCTAGACATCTATGGGTTCTAGACATCTATGGGTTCTAGACTTCTAGGGGTTCTAGACATCTAGGTGTTCTAGACATCTATGGGTTCTAGACTTCTAAGGGTTCTAGACATCTATGGGTTCTAGACATCTATGGGTTCTAGACTTCTAGGGGTTCTAGACATCTATGGGTTCTAGACATCTTAGGGTTCTAGACTTCTAAGGGTTCTAGACATCTATGGGTTCTAGACTTCTAGGGGTTCTAGACATCTATGGGTTCTAGACTTCTAGGGGTTCTAGACATCTATGGGTTCTAGACTTCTAAGGGTTCTAGACTTCTAAGGGTTCTAGACATCTATGGGTTCTAGACTTCTAGGGGTTCTAGACATCTAGGTGTTCTAGACATCTTAGGGTTCTAGAGGTCAAGGGGTTCTAGGCATATAGGGGTTCGATACATCTAAGGGTTCTAGACATCGAGATATAACTAATATACTCGTACTCTCCACAATAAACATATGCCCAAGTTTGCCCGCTATATACAAAACTTCCAGCAATGCCCACTATGCCAGATATGCCCAACTATGCCCGCTATATGCACTACTGTCCAGCGATGCCCACTATGCCAGATATGCCCAAATATGCCCGCTCTATACACATCTAAGTCAAGCAATGCCCACTATAGTCACCACCGGACAGTCATGTCCAGGCCGACACCCATTACGCCATATCTGATCAGTGAGTGAGACGAGACACGCCCCACCCCCGGGGCCCGCCCGTCAACAGGTGAGGACACACGAGCCTAGACCCTCCAGGAGTAAACATTTTTTGACACTAAGAAAAGTTTACGTCTGGCCAAATAAACCAGCACTCGTCTCAAGATGAAATGGCAGATAAATATTTGCTGCTTGTGCCAGGCTAGATGGAGGAGTCGCTGGGTGGCTTCGGTCGTTGCTCGGTCTTGTTGTGGTCTTTTTTGGTCTTATTGTGGTCTATTTTGGTCTTTTTTGTTATTATTTTGGTCTTATTTGGTCTTATTATTGTATTTTTTGTCTTATTTTGGTCTTTTTGGTCTTATTTTTGTCTTATTGTGATCTTTTCTGGACTTTTGGTCTTATTCGTCTTTTTTTGGTCTTATTTTGGTCTTTTTTTTGGTGTTATTTTGGTCTTTTTGGTCTTATTTTGGTTACATTGTTTTTGGTCTTCTTGTGGTTTATTTCTGTCGTATGAGTCATATTTCGGGCGTAGAGGGCAATCCACCTCATTAGTGAATTTTCTTTTAAGAAACTGTATTACTGATATTACTTCTCCCAACGTAATGCCAGACACTTGATAGAGCTGAGCTGGCTCAGAAATTACATGTCCGGTATTTCAGCCTATTTTCAAATCAAAAGCACACAATGTCAGTAACAGTTTCTAAACCACAAATCTATGTACCTGGAGCATGTCTTACTTACCTCCCCTTATAACAGCCATATACACACATACTCTACTTCCCCTGCCTTCCCCTGACAAGACTGGCATACAACCAGACAGCTGGTACTCACACGAAATTCATATAAACTTAGCGGTACTCACACAAGACTCGTATAAACTTAGCGGTACTCACACAAGACTCGTATAAACTTAGCGGTACTCACACAAGACTCGTATAAACTTAGCGGTACTCACACAAGACTCGTATAAACTTAGCGGTACTCACACAAGACTCGTATAAACTTAGCGGTACTCACACAAGACTCGTATAAACTTAGCGGTACTCACACAAGACTCGTATAAACTTAGCGGTACTCACACAAGACTCGTATAAACTTAGCGGTACTCACACAAGACTCGTATAAACTTAGCGGTACTCACACAAGACTCGTATAAACTTAGCGGTACTCACACAAGACTCGTATAAACTTAGCGGTACTCACACAAGACTCGTATAAAACTTAGCGGTACTCACACAAGACTCGTATAAACTTAGCGGTACTCACACAAGACTCGTATAAACTTAGCGGTACTCACACAAGACTCGTATAAACTTAGCGGTACTCACACAAGACTCGTATAAACTTAGCGGTACTCACACAAGACTCGTATAAACTTAGCGGTACTCACACAAGACTTTAATGGCGGCCTCGTTGCTCTGGATGTTGAAGGTCGAGGTCGTGTTGGTGGCCACGCACTTGTACACGCCATCGTCCTCATCCCGCATGGCACGCAGGATGCGGAGGTTGCTGTCCTCCTGGTACTTCCGCGCCGTGTACACGATCGGCTTGCCGTTCTGCTCCCACATGAAGCTGACGCTGCGTCGGTCGCTGACGTCACACAGGAGTTTGGTCTCCAGCCCCTCGTTGACGGACTTGCTCTGGGGGTGGACGTTGAAGTAGAAGGAGTCGTTGGCCTCTGACAGGCAGAGGGCTGAAATAGAGAGGAGGGTGGTCAGTTAGTGACTGAAATAGAGGAGGGTGGTCAGTTACTGGCTGAAACAGTGTTCCTTAAAACCCAGACAAAATCTGATGAAACTGGAAGATTTAATGAGAGCAAGAGTTCATGTTTTCTCTAACCAAGTCAAACTAGAGAACGTTACCCAACGGTTTGACCTGTTCACAAAAACACTAACCTGACTAAATTAGTCAGCTGGTCAATAATAACTGTCTGAGAGCGTGACATTTAAAGACACAAATCAAATGTTTTTCTGATCGATTTTGTAATACACAGTGACAAATGAAATGTTTTCATTGTTATTGAACTGATCGATTTTGAAATGCCCAGCGACGAATCAAACAGACGGCCACATTATCTCAACGTTTCTGACACCTTTTGTTTGCCGTGTCCTGATGTTTACTATCTGTTTAGATCACAATAGGTAGGACAATATCTGATAATCTGATTTTTTTCTGTTGCCAGTTTTTTTGTTAGAATAAGATTAAGGATTAGATTAGTGTCGGATTTAGTGTGAAGTTCAGGAACTATGCTATCTTAAGTTTCGACCAGGGGTAGGATTAAATACCAAAATCCATGATCTGAAGGGTGCAGTACATTCTTAAAATCGTGTATAAAAACCATAACCCCATAAATCTAATGGTTTAAAATAAAAATTTCAACATAATATCAAAGAAAATGCCTAAAAAATATATGACATTAACCAACATTGTGAAATGTTGAAAAAAAAAACCAACATTGTAGATTATCGAATACAATCATTATTGAACAGAATGGTAGGATGTGATACAACATTGGAAGGAGTGTTAAACCGGTGCAGCTTATTGAAATACACTAAGACAGTTGAACAATGGTGGTTAACATATGTTCATCAACAGCTTAACAAATAACAATCTGAAGAAAATAAAAGGTAAATTAATCTCACAGAGACGAGGCCTAACAATAAGTCAATTAGAAACACAAAGATGACTGATGCAGTCGTTGACTTGATCAGGCGTTCGTGCCTTGACATCCAACGAATACAATTCCATCAACAGGAACTGTACATGAAAATATACACCTCATCTACCCATCCCATCTATTCATTTCTTTGAATTATCTCCCTGTATTGTAACATGATTATCTCCCCTTCTCAAGCTGAAATATCCCCGACAAGAATGATTGTTATATTGCACCATCGTATCGCCTATGGCACACAGACAAACTCCCAACTGGCTGTCTGGACCTACACGCCGCCTATACTCCTGGATCACTCTGGCTCGCAGGGGTGGTCACAAGATGGCTGACAACAAGGGGGAATAAGTATGGAACAATGTGGAAGATGTGAACATATTACTCGGAGCGTGGGTCCCTTTGTTTTCATTTCCCCGTGCTCACCCTCCGCCATAATGGCTGACACTTGTTGTGATGCAGGCCTTTGTGTTGAGCTTCCGTCGGAGGCAATTCGTCATTTTTTCCCCCCATTTTACTCTGGCATATTCTTAGGCCGGAAATGGAGTGCAACTTATTTCCTCTGACCATCCTCCCCAGCTCTCTCGGGGAGAGATTTCCCAGAGTTCCTCAAAGTTCCTGACACGGTTCCTGGCTGGTTCGTGAAGGGAAAACAAATGCTGGCGACACCAGAATGTCTCGAGGATTGTGTGTGTGTATGTGTGTGTGTGTGTGTTTTAATTTGTGGCCTGACAAGCGCAACCACAACCATAATCATTATCACCATTGGGTACACACATGTTACCACCATTGGATTCTAACTTAAGCGCCACTGGATAACCCCCATACACTTTAACTTCAGAAATATTGCAACGGTGAACAGACGCAAAAAAAAAACAACAGTGTTCAACAACAGCAAAAAACACAAAACCACTACCACAAAACTACCACAAAAATAACCACAAAACTACCACAAAACTAACCACAAAACTACCACAAAACTACCACAAAAGCAAATAGCAGCACCACAGCACCAGCATTCTCATATTTAACAACACATCCACAAGGTCAAGTTGATCTGCCTTTAGATATCTTTACATAACCATGTTAAGATTTGTATTAGATTTCTCTGCTCATTGTTGGCCCAATTATCAAAGTTTCTCATTCCACTGTGGCCAAATAAACAAGGGTTCTCTTCTCAATGTGGCCCAATCACCAAGATTTATCATCTATTGTTGGCCCAATCACCAAGGTTTACCTTGTATTGTTGGCCCAATGACCATGATTTCTAAATCCACTGTGGCCCCATCAACCAAGGTTATCCACTATGGCCCAATCAAAAAAAAAACATATTCCCTAGCCATTGTAAAACAATCATGTAATGAAAACAAAACCACTGCAAAATTTATTTCAAACTGATTCTATTTTTTTTCTATACAACATACCCCCCCCCCTTTGATTACAACATAAAACAAAACAAAAGTATCTCCCATCGATTGCGTCCTGAGGAACCATCACGTGACCCACCCGTCCATACTCTCGTGTGTCCCCGAGTGCCATCACGGAGCAGAAATTACGCCTAAACGTCAAATTATCGGCCAGTCCGACACGGCGGAAGAGAGTGGATTATTAAGACCAGTTTCATGAGGCACAGATTCCTTTTTATGGGTCGATGACACATGTTAGGGCATGCGCGTTGGGGGAGTTAGGGGGGGGGGGGAGTCGAGGTTTTGTTAAAAGTGGAGGGGGGGGGGGTGAGCTGGAGGGTGACGGGGAGGGGTGGTGGAAGGATGGATGGAGGCAACATGTTGGTGTCTTGTGTCAAGGAGAGAGGGGGGAGGGGTGGGGGTGAATGTAACAAGTTAGTGTACCATGCAGCTCCGTGTGTGTGTGTGTGTGTGTGTGTGTGTGTGTGTGTGTGTGTGTGTGTGTGTGTGTGTGTGTGGAAGACAGCAACATGTTGATGTATAGTGTGGTTGGGTGAGGTAGGGTGGATGGAGGCAACATGTGGGTGAGATGTGTCAGAGAGCAGGGGGGGGGGGGGGAGGACGTCGCACATCACATGCGTGTTGGCAGCCTTCAAGGTCGATTCACCATTTACCAGAGCTTTCATGAATGGCGGTTGTAAAAACAAAACAATGTAAAGTATCTATCACGTGGTCAAATTTTGCACCTCAATTTTGACCTATATGTATTTATAGCCTTGGACCATAATGCACAGCGAAGAAATTTATTTAAATACAACAAAAAATGTATGGATTATTGCAGCTGTTTCTTCTACAACCTCATTTGTAACCGCTGAATCAAACTTACATACGACAACGTTTTTACCCCCATTGAATCAGTCTTTGCATCGAACTAAACACGTGACCTAACTATCCAACTTCTAAAATGTTCTTGAAAACGTGGTAGTTACTTTTTTGGTATAAGCTACTGTGGTGTTTAAAGGTTATTTGGTTGGAAAGTAGCTTTGTGTTTAACTTTAGTTTGGTTATGAAGTGCTGCGGTGTTTAAAAAATATTTTGCTACGAGCAACATCAAACAATCGATACACATCAATGTATTTTTTAAAAAGATAGTTTTAAGCCCTGTATTGATCCGTAAGTTGATTTTCTGCATACGTTGTATTGAAGGGTAAAACAAGCATTGCCAGTTGGAAAAGCTGCTTTGGTTAGAGAATAAACTAACTGGGTTACAAGAATTAACGAACTGGGTTACAAGAATTAACGAACTGGGTTACAAGAATTAACGAACTGGGTTACAAGAATTAACGAACTGGGTTACAAGAATTAACGAACTGGGTTACAAGAATTAACCATTCAGTTATAAATGGTATAAAAAAAAAAGCAAACTCACGCCATACATCAGAAGCCACAATTCAAACATGATCTCCCCTCATTAAACCACCTTAATGAGGTTTGATCAAATCATGAAAGCTATGCGTCTACCAGTCAACAGAGGGTTAAAATAGCGACGTATGTTGACGCCAGTTACGATAATTAATCCACGTGATTTAAAAATCTGTGACCCCCCATCTCACCACATGTCACCGTGACAATTAAACTGTACCATCAACCTGGTTTAACCCGAACCCCCCCCCCCCTCAAGGACACTGCAGTCTCGCATGACACCGCTGCTTTTTACGTCATCAAACTCAACGTGTGGTTTCTCTACTCACCAGGGACCCCGCACTCCAGGGATCAGGGACCCCCGCACACACCAGGGATCAGGGACCCCCGCACACACCAGGGATCAGGGACTTCGCACACCAGGGATCAGGGACCCCGCACACACCAGGGATCAGGGACCCCCGCACACACCAGGGATCAGGGACCCCCGCACACACCAGGGATCAGGGACTTCGCACACCAGGGATCAGGGACCCCGCACACACCAGGGATCAGGGACCCCCGCACACACCAGGGATCAGGGACCCCGCACACACCAGGGATCAGGGACCCCCACACACACCAGGGATCAGGGACCCCGCACACACCAGGGATCAGGGACCCCAACACACACCAGGGATCAGGGACCCCGCACACACCAGGGATCAGGGACCCCCGCACACACCAGGGATCAGGGACTTCGCACACCAGGGATCAGGGACCCCGCACACACCAGGGATCAGGGACCCCCGCACACACCAGGGATCAGGGACCCCCGCACACACCAGGGATCAGGGACTTCGCACACCAGGGATCAGGGACCCCGCACACACCAGGGATCAGGGACCCCCGCACACACCAGGGATCAGGGACCCCCGCACACACCAGGGATCAGGGACCCCGCACACACCAGGGATGACGGAGACCGTACACACCAGGGATGAGAAACCCCAGGCTCAGCCCGCGGTGAGTGGGTGGACAAATAGGGATAAATTAGCCTCAATTACAGGGGTCCAATTATTGGCATGCGCGCGTGTCAGGCTGATCCCGGCCAACAAAAGAAAATTGATGTCATGTTGCAGAGTTTTTCATACAGTAAAAACCAAATTATAGTGTTATGTTTCCAATGTTAGCAGGGCTACAGTAATGTGTGCAGTG